ACCCTCTTGGCGAACAGCTTTTGTTTCACTGATCCCGAAGGAAGATCAAAATTGTACTAAACCTGAAAATTTTAGGCCAATTTCACTTTTGAACACGGATTATAAAATTTTTGCTAAAATATTAGCGAATAGATTAATGCCAGTTATGCAACAAACAATTCATAATGATCAATCAGGCTTTATAAAAGGGAGGCAAATGAAATATAATGTTAGATAAGTTATAAACTTATTAGAATATTTAGAAATATTCGGAATTGGTTAAGGATTGTATGATAAAATGGGCACAAAACTTTCAGGAACCAGTGATGATGGAAACGTGGGAAAAGATTTGGGTCAGAAATGTTAAATTTACGCAAGCACAAAATTTGAGAGAGAATTTTTATAAAATGTTTTATAGATGGCACTTAGATCCTAAAAAATTATCATGTATGTACTCGAATTTGCAAGCTAAATGTTGGAGATGTGAATGTAATGATGCAACCTATTATCATATATGGTGGACCTGTAAGAAAATCAAGGCATTTTGGATAAAAATTTGGTGGGTGATGCAGAATATTCTGAAAAGAAGGTTGAAATTTACTCCTCAATTGTTCCTATTGGGTATAACTACAGACTGTACAGTATCAGAGACTAAATTGATTTTGAACTTAATATCTGCAGCTAGGCTGTTGGTAGCGCAATATTGGAAGAAGGACTCTTTGCCTACTATTGAAGAGTGGATATTGAAAGTAACGAACTTAGCAGAAATGGCAAAAATCTCAGCGTACCTGAAGGACTATACACAAGAAAGATACGTATCGGAATGGAGAAGATGGATTGATTATATTCAAAATAAGTATCAGACAAGAAAATATCAAATAGCTTATGAATGAACGTTAAGTATTAGAAGTATTATGTTATCTATAGTGGAGTTAAGGTTTCAGGGGAGGAGTTAGTAGTCTGAGGATAAGTAGGTTAATCTAGTTTATGATTGTTAAATGAAACACCTTGTATTTTGCTCTGGGAAGTCTGGGGGGGGAGGGTGGGATGAGGGGAGGGAAAGGGTGGGGGGAATAGGGGAGGGAAGAAAATTTTTGTTTTTTTGTAAAACTTTTCAATAAAAAAAAAAGAGAAGCAAAACGTCTTCAAAGAAAAACCAGAAAGTTCAGTTGCCTCATAAAAAAGTACCTTTGGGACAACCATGGCCTGGATGTCTGAGAATCTCCATATACATTTAATAGAAAACTTCTCCACAAAGTTTGCCATTCCAGAGTTCACTCTGGGATTCCTCTGATTATCATTGCTATTTATTAGATTTTTAAAATCCTACCTTTGTTACAAATAAAGCAAGGTAAAAAATGTGCCACTTATTTTCCCCACAACCATCCTGTGAGGTAGATTGGGCTGACAAAGAATGACTGGAGTTGCCCAGCCAGCTTTCATGCATAAGGTGGGACTAGAACTCAATTTCCTGAATTACCTAAAATACCAGAAAAATGCAAGAAGGCTTTGGAAGAAAGAATAACGATGATGGAATTAACAGAGGGGATTAAGAAACAAAAGAATGGTAAAATGCCAGGTCCAGATGGTTTGCCAGCAGAGCAATGGTGAAATCTAAAATTTGTTACTATCGGTTCTGTGGCTTGAGGGGGGGGGGGGGGTGTAATGTGACTGGATGGGTGTGGACAATTTTTTTTTTTTTTACTTTTAAAACCATTTTTTCTACAACCTCTTTGGCGAAGAGGTTGTAAAAAATGCTTTCAAAAGGCTCTGACAATCCCAGCTGAGTTGCCTGATGGGCAGAGACTTTTTTTCTTTTAAATGGCTCTGACGATCCAAGCTGAGTTGCCTGATTGGCAGTGGGTTTTTTAAAAAGCCTCTGCCGATCATGCAACTCAGCTTGGATCATCAGAGCCATTTAAAAGAAAAAAAGCCTCTGATGATCGCACGGCTCAGCTGGGCATGGGGGGGGGCGGGGGAGGTTTTTTTTCGTTTCTCCAAACCACCCGTTTCCATTGCTACTGGATCGGGCAATCCGGTCTGAACCAGGAGCATTTCACTCCTGCAGCAGAGTTGTCCAAAATATTACAGGATGGAATTAGCAATACAACGTTGGAAGTATTTAATTAACTTTTAGTAAATGCAAAAATACCCAACTCTTGGATAGAGGCATTCTTTTACCGAAAGAAGACACAGACTTACAAGTTAAAAATTATAGACCGATTTCCTTGTTAAATGTGGATTATAAAATATTTGCATTAATAATGGATTGTAGAGATTGTTAAATGAATTTATTTACACAGATCAAAATGGTTTCTTATCAAAGAGACAGATTAGAGACAATATGAGGACAATCTTAAATACTTTGGAATATTATGAAGTACACCCAGAAAAGCAAATGGCATTGATGTTTCTCGACGCATGGAAGACTTTTGATAATATGAACTGGCAATTTATGATAAAACAATTGCAGACTATGGACTTTGGGGGAAGATTTATAAATATGATTGAGGCAATTTATAGTAAGCAACCTACAAAGGTGATAATAAATGGAGATATGACAGAGAAGGTTAATATTATGAAAGGAACAAAACAAGGATGTCCCCTATCCCCATTGCTATTTGTGTTGACATTAGAGGTGTTAAGCAGAAATATAAGACAAAATGAAGAGATAACAGGGATGAAAATTTAAAAAAGAAGAATATAAACTACAGGCATTTGCAAATGATCTAGTATTTATTTTAGAGGAGCTTATTTTATTTTGATATTTTATTATTGTAATTCCTGTGTGTATATAATAACTGAATATAAACTTGATAAACAAAAGCTTCAGTTAGTGCAGAGTTCTTCCCCTTGTAGGAAATAGGACCATATTGCATTGCTCCATTCTTTCCCAACCTGTTGCTTCTACAAGTGCTAAAATAGCAATTTCATTGGTACAGTATATGCTGTATACCTTTTGCCTGGGAATTTTTTGGAAACGCTTGTCCCAATTCACCTACATGGTATCAAGTTGAGGAATGCTATAATAAAAGATGCAAGATTTTAATGTAAGAACCATCAAATCAATATTTAAAGCCTGTTTACTGTTTAATAAATACATTTCATTCATACTTCGCAGAAAATGACTTAAAACAGCTTTCTTTTAATTAAATGTCACTCCTCATTAGTTTTGCGCTCCAATATATTAATTCTAAGAGAAATTTTAAAATAAATATTTTAAAAATTATTCTAATACAGAGTTGTGGCATTATTGTATTCATTTTACTACCTCCATTATTCTCAAGAGCACTATTTCTGAGAAAAAATATAATTCTGAATATTGGAAGTTATCAAACTTATGGCACATCATCTTGAGAATCTTTTAAATGGATAATTAATTCATAAATGATTAGTTTAATCAGTTCCCACAATGTCTGGCATGAAATATCTGCCCATAGAAAGTAGTTCTTTGTCTCTATAAGTTATCTACTTAACTTGAAATTACAATGTTTATTGTTAATGTACCCTTTTAATAAGGACAGCTGTTAGGAGACCAAAAAAAAAAACATTTTTCACTGCAAATTATAAAGCTGTACTTTCTTTGCTTAGTATTTGATACAATATTTAATTTTATACACAAATATTTTCTGAAAATTACAACTCCTACATCAACTACAAATTACTGAAAGGAAATTTGCAGCCAGAGTTCTATGTACTCTGATTACTTCCTAGTAGATATTACATAATTTAGTTCCAAATAAATTATAGGTATCACAATTACAATTAGAATATACATGGTTGCTGAGATAATGCACCACAAAAAAGAACACTCCACTATTAATTATTTTCCATACTTTAAAGCTAAATTCCTGGAACAGCAATTAGTTTCCAGAGTGGATCTTTGACAGCAATTAGTTTTAAATGACCCCGCCTTCCTGTAATAAAAATAACCTGATGCAGGGTTATGTATTTTCTTAGGAAATTTAAATATTTCCCTGCCTAATCTATTTGAGATAAATATCTCAAGATTCCCTGAATAAAGATAATAAATCTGCAAGTAAAACCTCTTCTCCAGGAACAGTCTATTCTACTATATACAGTATTTTTTGAAGGATCAGTGCAAGAAAGAAAAAGGCATAAAAACTTAATCATATTCAGAACATATTGGATGGATACAAAACTGAAATAACAGAGCATATTAAGAATTATATAAATATCAGAGGTATGTTTAAATGCATATGTTATGAACAGATTCATTATCTTATAGTTTAAAGGGGATTATCACAGTTTTAATGTACTAATTTAGCCTCACCTTTACATAGCTTCATTGTTAAATTAAAAAATGAAGGTCAAGAATTATTTTACTGAGTTGATAATACAAAATAACTATTCTCTTTTCACTCCTGTCACCCTGCTAAGTGAGAAAAGATTGCTCATTGTTCTTAAAATATGTTTTTCTATCTTTTGACTCAAGATCAATTTAATTCTTTAATTCTTTAATTTCAAGTTTCAAAACCAAACAAAACAAAACAAAAAAAAAAACAGATCAAGTCATCCAGTTGTTCTGTCAATTCCTTCTGATTCACATATTTTCCTGGAGTCTCAAAAAAAAAAAAAAAAGGAAATTAGTATGTCATACGCTAAATAAATAAGGATTTGTATAGGAATAAGTTATTCAATTAGATAAATGGTATAAGTTTTTAAAAAAACTGTAAACATTTCAAGAGAAAAACAAAATATTTTTATGTCCGCACTTTTACACCATAAATGTATCAACCCTTTAGTCCGTTCGAACTCTGGAGTTACTTGGATGACGAGGAAATGCACTCTACAGCCGCTCAGAGGTCCTCTTCTATCTAGACTGACATACTTTACTCCAGGACTGAGTTTCGGCAAAGATGAAAAGATGCCAGAGCTGAGCCCTAACTTTAATCAGCGCTGCATCTGAACCCACTAAAACAACTAGGAAAGGTCTTGTAAGGCGCGGCACGCCTTTTCCTTGCTCCGGGGCTACCCGGCTCGCCAGGCACTTCACTTACCCAATTTTTTGAAAGCGCGGTGCCCCGAGGATTTGGCAGTTCCTCCATGATGGGCAGAAAGCTGCTGCTGGTGGTGACAAGTTTCCAAGCGGGACTTTTTCCATTTTCCGCAAAACATGACTGAGTTTATTGGCTCACCTATCCTCCGGTTTGGAGCTGAGGAAGCCCTTTTATCGTCTTGTCGCCCCACTTGCGAGGCAGCCCTACCCTCTAGATTGAAGTTCTGCTTGTCCAGCCTCCTTTGTGACTCGCCGCTGCCGCGCGCAGATTGGAGAAGCAGAGCTTGCCAGGAATTCTCAAATTACAGTCGAGGCGAGAGGTTTAACTCTTTCCCGCCCTTGGGCTGTCTGGCTGGAGGATCCGCGCGCCGACTCACAACCTTCCTTAGCTGCTGGGAAGATGGTGCGCGCCCCGACATCATCCCAAGGAATAGCCCTCTCGAACTTCAAAGAGCAGGGAAGGCAACTTCGGGGAAGAAGGAAAAAACAAGTTCTGGTTGATTTGCACCCTACTACAACATATGCAATTATTGCATTATATTTATAAAATAGGGTCGGGGGATTACTCCAGAAGTACTGTAAACTGCAGGGTGGCCCCCACTTACCCCGTTTCCACTTCAACAAACTTTCCTCTTCATAAAACAGCATCCCTTCCATTGATATGGAAAATAAGGGTACAGCACAGGCCTGCTGTGCTGAAGGGGAGGTGTGGTTTAAAAAGATGGCACTGTTTACAATAAAGAAAATATAGTTCATTGAGTAAACTTTTCTTATTTGAGTGACACATTCGAAAAGACTCATGTAGTACATGGATTGGATTCCCACTACATATTAGACCAGTGTTTTTCAAACTTTATAACTTTAAGATGCATGGGTTTCCAATTTGAAAAATATTAGACCAAGGTTGCTTACTTTGTGGCTTGGAATCTTGGCTGAAGGCAACCAATAAAATTAACGTATAGTACAATATGTTGGGCGACTATGTAAAATACAATAAATCATGGCTTATATACTACTAGGCAGCATGAATCTAACCAAAGGTACGAGCAAAAGACAAGCAAAAGAGAACTGTCACACTTAGCAATACCATACAGGGCAAAAATGAGGACTCCCAAATCAGAAAGAGCTATATATCCCTCCATCCAACACACAGACATGCACACATCCCTCTAACTGAGTCACTTGAGGAGAGGTCCTATCCATTATTTCATCTTTTAAAGGGATAAAAATCCATTTCTTCCAGCATACTCTAAATGAATATAATCAGAAGAGGTTTCACAGTTTTTTTTACTTGTGCAAACTTCTACAACTCCCATCCAAATGCAATGCAAACACATGAGGGATTCCATTTTTAAGGTTGATTCCAAGTACAGATGTTGAATTCCACTGAATCCAGCACATATCCAGTCAAAGGTAAGATTTTTCATTCATGTACCTTGGCATACTCTATTTTACAAATGGGTTTAGTCCAAACAGGGAAACAGCACCATCTTGAGGCCAAATGCATTTATCTCCCAGTTGTGATCCATATTTATCTGACTTTCAGAACAAGTTATTATAATAGTCATGGAAAAACAAAGAATGAGAATTTTGGACATTTAGAAGGATGCAGACAATGAGCACAGTTTTCAGTGTCAAGTAAGAAATCACAAGACCAAATATCTCAATCAAGAATATCAACAAATAGAGGAAAATAATAACGTAAGTTAAAATATATTTTAGGAAGGTCAGAAAAAAATCACAGGAAAATTAAACAAAATTATCCAAAAGAAATAATTGAAAGTGTTATAAGAAAATGGAAAATTGTGCTTATAACTACTATGAAGAATATAAGAAGCCGATCCTTTGCTTCTTTTTTTCTTTTCCTCAATTTATATATATTCTGCCTTTATTATTTTTACAAATAACTCCAGGTGATAAAGAACACTTCTTTCTCCTACTATTTTCCCTCACAACAACAACTCTGTGAGATGAATTGGGTTGAGAGAGAGTGATTGGCCCAAAGTCACCCAGTTGGTTTTCATGGCTAAGGTGGCATTGAAACTCACAGTGTCCTGCTGTCTAGCCTGGTACCTAACCACTAGACCAAACTGGCTCTTTTTGCTTTCTCTTTTTTCTTTTTTTACTTTACATTAGTTTGCACTAGTTTTTAATTTTTTTAAAAAAAGATTTCAATAAAAGTTATACTTTAAAAAAAAGAAAAATACTTTGCAAACCTTTACAAGCAGAATTTTAGAATGACAGAAACATTTGTAGGAAAATGGTATTAAGGAGCCAATCACAACAGAAAAAAAAGAGATATAAAAGGCAATAAATCAATGCATGTAGGAAAGCATCAGGCACAGATGAAATGCCACTTTGAAGCTTCACAAGAAGAAGCAATCTATGGATTAAAAACTCTATGTCAACACATATGGAAGAAGACCTCATCTGACTGGAAAATAACATTATATATGTATGAATATATGTAGGGTATATCAAAAGTTTTATTGCTTTTTTTCAGTGAAAATGATATTGAACTCAAGAATGTTCAAAGATCATGAGTCAAATGAGTAAAAAAAGTGTTTAGAATAAAGACAGCCAATTTGAACATTTAGTGTAATATATATAATAAATTGTCTACAAGATCTGATTTTTGGAACACCCTATATTCATGATGGCGAACCTATGGCACGCGTGCCGGAAGTGGCACACAGAGCCATCTCTCTGGGCACATGAGCCATTGTCCATTGCTCTTCTGATTTCTGGCACACGCATGCACACCACTAGCTAGTCTTCACGTGCACGTGTGCTAGAAACTGGAAGACCAGGTGGAAGATCATCTTCCCGGCATGTGCATGCGTACCGGGCAGCTGCTCTTCCAGTTTCCAACACGTGCATGTGCATGCACCTGTTCCCGTTTTGGCACTCAGTGCCGAAAAGGTTCGCCAATACTACCCTGATACATCTATACCAATATAGCAGTGGTGGAATTCAATTTTTTTTACTACCGGTTCTGTGGGCATGGCTTGGTGGGCATGGTGTGGCTTGGTGGGTGTGGCAGGGGAAGGATACTGCAAAATCTCCATTCCCACCCCACTCCTTAGGGAAGGATATTGCAAAATCTCCATTCCCACCCCACTCTGGGGCCAGCCAAAGGTGGTATTTGCTGGTTCTCCAAACTACTCAAAATTTCCACTACTGATTCTCCATAACCTGTCAGAACCTGCTGAATTTCACTCCTGCAACACAGGAGTATTTAAGAATATACCAAACTTTGCATTATTTCTTCACACAATATGACATATATATAAGATGCAATTCCAAATGTACAACACTGGATTTCAGAAAAGATTGAGAGGCACAAAATAAGACAGCTAGTATTATAGTTAATGAAAAGAGCAAAAGAGAATTTGCTTTTTTGTCTTCTTTGACTGTATAGGTCATGCCACTGCCACAATAAGAAGCATAATATGACAATATGTGCCAGAACATCTGTACAATAGACAATAAGTTATTGAATGGATAAACAAAAGTGTTTCACAATAGGAAAGGAAATGAGACAACAATCCATACAGTATTGTCAATATTGCCTCTGTATTTAAGTACTATGGTGAATATATTACATGGCAGGATATGAAGAAATTAGAAAGGAATAGAATAGAATTTTTTATTGGCCAAGTATGATTGGACACACAAGGAATTTGTCTTGGTACATATGCTCTCAGTGTACATAAAAGAAAAAATACGTTCATCAAGAATCATAAGGTACAACACTTAATGATAGTCATAGGGTACAAATAAGCAATCAGGAAACAATATCAATATAAATCGTTAGGATACAAGCAACAAAGTTACAGTCATACAGTCATAAATGGGAGGAGATGGGTGATAGGAACAATGAGAAGATTAATAGTAATGCAGATTTAGTAAATAGTTTGACTGTGTTGAGGGAATTATTTGTTTAGCAGAGTGATGGCGTTCGCGAAAAAACTGTCCTTGTGTCTAGTTGTTCTGGTGTACAGTGCTCTGTAGCGTCGTTTTGAGGGTAGGAGTTGAAACAGTTTATGTCCAGAATGCGAGGTGTCCGTAAATATTTTCACAGCCCTCTTTTTGACTCGTGCAAAAAGTGGAAGGCAGGTTGGTAGCAATTGTTTTTTCTGCAGTTCTAAATAACCTCTGAAGTCTGTGTGTGTCTTGTTGGGTTGCAGAACCAAACCAGACAGTTATTATATCAATTATATCAATTTAAAGTCCGAAGTCACCCAGTACATTTTTTTTAATTATAACTGTATCCAATTAATACTTGTTCAACACCATTTATTTTTAACCAATTTTTTTTTTAAATATGTTGGCTGGCGTTTCCCACAAAACAGTACCACACCCCTTATTTATTTATTTTTCTGACTATTTATTTGCACTTAATGTGAAATAATAGATTTATATTTTAATTATTTGCCTGTGGAGGTAGTCATGAAAATTGTTATAGTTTTCTGAGAAACATTCCAATAGCATCTCACATGCACGAGTCTTTAGAAAAATATTATTTAGATTGCATAAATATTTGTTTTTATACAGTAAAAAAAATAGAGGTTGAAGAGGTCTTGAAGAGATTGTATCATCTGCATACTTCAAATTATTTATGGTTCTTCCCACGATCTTTACTCCAATATCAGATAGTTCCAGATCTAATTTCTGGAACTGTCTGTTTCTTCAACATACAGATTGAGCAAAAAAGGTGATAAAATATATCCCTGTGTAGCTCCTTCAGTGATTCTGAATCAATCTGTGTCACCATAAAGTGTTCTCACTGTTGCCTCCTGATCAGTGTACAATGATGGGATGAGTCTGATCAAGTGGGTTGGGACACCAAGATCATGTAAAGCCGCCAAGTCTATGGTATTCTACACAGTCAAAAGCTTTTCTGTAATCATTCTCTGGCCTCTGTTTAACAATTTTTAACAGAATCTTGCTTGCATGAGAAATCAGTGCAATAATGCGATCATTGGAGAAGTTTTTGCCATTGACTTCCTTTATTAATGGGATAAAAAAGATCTTTTCCAGGCTGGGGCCCTTGAAATGTAGTCCATATCTCTTGACACAGGGCAGTGATAGCAATAGCAATAGCACTTAGACTTATATACCACTTTACAACCCTCTCTAGTGGTTTACAGAGTTAGCATATTATTACCCCCAACAATCTTGGTCCTCATTTTACCCACCTCAGAAGGATGGAAGGCTGAGTCAACC